CATGTTCTGCCTCTAAATAACACCCCAAAGTGTGAAAACAGAAGAAAATGTTTTCCGAATCCAATAAATGCCTCCCCAAAATACTGTTTCTTCAGCTTTATACAGTAAACATGGTTACCCAAATGTGTGTTGGTGCCGCACATCTGCTGACACATAAATTCACCCATTCTAGTCACACACACACACTTGCTGCTGTGTGCATGCATGCACTGGCCCTAAATGTTTGCAGGGGGCTGGGGAAAAGCCTTTGGCGGGCCAGATTCAGCCTGCGGTCATTGGTCAGTTGAAGGATAGCTATGCACCTTTTAGATAAGTGCTTAGCTACTAAGCAAAAGGATTTGGACTCTTGAAAAGAATAAAGGGAAATATATGTGTTTACTGTGACCTTATTTGTGCATCATAATTAACCATATTTTATTTGGATAGAACATGCTTAGGTGTCCCTTCCTGGCCTGCACTTTCCCCTAGCATAGTCATTTAGCAACATTTCACTGCCACAGGACATCCATTTGTGAGAGGTGCTGCTTTGAGGATTGTGAGGTTGTCCAAAAGCCAGAAGACCATGTCAGTTGTTTCACATATCTTGTGGATTTTGGCCTTAGTTCGATAGTCTCTCAGTTTCAGCGTGACAACATATTGTACCTTAAATAAGTTAAAAAACAAACCAAGTGGTTTGAGACCAGAGTTCAAATCCCACTTGGTCATGAAACCCACTGAGCATTTCACACTTTCTCAGCTTCATAATAGTAGCAACAGGATTTCTGGTTGTTCCAAGAGGAAAACATTGGGCATTTAAAAGGTATAAACTAAATGGGTTGGATACTGGCTTAGAATATACTAACTGGAATGGATGCGACAGAAGTCATTATTCTTAGTTCAGGTAATTTTGCTCATTCTACTTTCAAGTGGGCTCCCTGGTGGTATAGTGGGTTAAACTGCTAAGCTGCTGAACTTGCTGACTGAAAGGTTGGTGGTTCGAATCTGGGGAATGGGGTGAACTCCTGCTGTTAATCCCAGCTTCTGCAGTCTAGCAGTTCAAAAACATGCAAATGTGAGTAGGTCAATAGGTACCTCTTCTGCAGGAAGGTAACAGCGCTCCGTGCAGTCATGCTGGCCACGTGACCTTAGTGGTGTCTACGGACAGCGCCGGCTCTTCAGCTTAGAAATGGAAATGAACATCACCGCTCAGAGTCGGACACGACTAGACTTAATGTAAAGGGGAAACCTTTACCTTACTGTCAAATATGATGCAGTCCAGATCTGATTCATTGGACTCTATATATTTAAACATTAGTGTTGTTCTAACAACAGTAGAAAGCTGTTAGGAGATGTCTTACCCTAGTAGTGGATACTTGGGGCCTCATTCCCTCAGAGAGAAACATATGAGCCTTGTAACACATTAAAGACAAATTATATCATAGCATAAGTTATTTTGGAGGTCAGAAAGATACAATGCTGGCAGAGCCAATTCCACTCCACCTTCCTTAAGATCATTCTTACTTAAGATCTTCAGTACTAAATGTTATTTTTCTTGAAATGTGAGAGTAACATGAGAGAGAGAGAGAAAAGTGGGATGGGTTCACTCCCTCATAATCTTTCTCCCCTCAAATACTACAAATCCCACCTTACTTTTCTCTCTCTCCCTGCCCATTTCCTTCTCCACTTCTGTACCAATTGTGAATTCAAACACTTACAGTGTGCATGCACTCCCCACATACACACACAACTGTCTCTCTTTCCATAAGCATACACTTAACAAAAGGCTGCATTATAACTTTTTGTATACAGTAGTATGATTACATGTTCAGATCATTACTTGTAACATGCAGGAATTGTCACAGTAACGCAGCCTCCGTTTTATATGTCTTTTTTTCTTTTACACACAGGTTTTGGATGGATTGCTAGCTCAGTATGGTACTGTGGAAAACTGTGAACAAGGTAAGGAATGTCAGAGCATTAAATTGGAGATAGACAAAGCGGGCTCTTGTTCTATTCAAATCAGGCTCTAGTTATATTCAGACGCTTTGCCCAACCTGGTATCATCACAGTGTTGTGGAGAACAACATCCATAAGATCACACATTGGTGGGGAATCCGAGCTGTTAGGTTCAAATAACCCTCAGTTGGGGTGATTCCACCATAAATATAGCAGAGTACCAGAAGTAAACTTCATAACCAGCAGAAATGTATGTGTGGTGAACTAGGATAGCCTTCTATATCTTAGGATGGTACAGGATTGCAGTCAGAACTTCAGGTTCAAAAATATTTATTGAAGTTAAAGAAATACATAGTTGGAGCCAACTAGCTTACTAAATTTTATATTCTAAGGGAGGTAAAAGGTAAAAAAATCAACGTAGCTACATTTTTCCTAGAGAGAGGCAAAATGTGTCCTTACTCGAAGGAAGGAAAGACAAAAGAGACTGGAAAATGGTGGAGAGACCGTGTGATCAATCCAGAGCAATAAATATTAAAGAGGAAGTTTCCTCACAGAATTCCATTACTACATCATCAAAGGGGAGGAGACAGTGGCTGGGAGGAAGAGTAAAGACAAAGCTCTTTTTTGGGAAAACATGCATAGGAATTGGAGGAAGGAATCCCTCAGCCTGGTACTATCTCTAGCCTAGCTCCTCACTGAGGTCTGGAAACTTGATGACACAAGAGACTTGTTCAGTCCAGGGATGAAACCCAACACACATCATCAAGTTTTATGAGAGTTGTGGTCCAAAAGTCTGGAGTGTAGCAAGACAGGAGATGAAGCTATAAACATCATCAAAGGGGAGGAGACAGTGACTGGCAGGAAGAGTAAAGACAAAGCTCTTTTTGGGGAAACATGCATAGGAATTGGGGAAGGAATTCCTCAGCCTGATACTATCTCTAGCCTAGCTACTCACTGAGGTTTGGAAACTTGATGACACAAGACTTGTTCAGTCCAGGGATGAAACCCAACACATATCATGGGGTATGATCAAGTATTATGAGAGTAGTGGTCAAAAAGTCTGGAGTGTAGCAAGACAGGAGATGAAGCTATAAACATATACCTGATACTAGATCTCACTAACCTTATTTCTTAAGCACTTATGCATGAGATTATGTTCTCTGTGTTATTTCAACACATTTTCTCTCATTGATCTGCCCATCCTGTTTCCTCAATAATATCATTTTTAAAAAATCTGTTCCATGTATGTATTTTTAAAACGATATCTTAAAATAAATTGTTTTGATTTGTTTTAACATGTATGCATTTTAACATATATGTGTGTTAAAGTGGCATTTGATACATTTTTGGGTCCAGCAACTTTGTCAGGTCATTTTGGAAATGTGAGTTCTGGGTTAAGCGTAAATCAGCTTATTCTATATTGGAATAAACAAAGATCAAATAAAATAGTGATTACATCTGTTTTAGCTAACACATTTTTTTCTTCCTTGTGTAAGTGAATACAGACAGCGAGACAGCGGTTGTCAATGTCACCTACTCCAACCGAGAACAGACCAGGCAGTAAGTGAAAAGTGTTGTTATAGTTCTGCAGTTATATCGTGTTTGGCTTTGGATGTGTCTGAGAGCATAAATGTTGTTTTTCCCAATTACAAAATGGGAATTACATGTGTCCCTGATCTTTGTAGAGTAAAAGCACAAAACTTTGCACCAACTGTTAAAACAATAACAACGGAAGAGAACTATTCTCTAACTTGAAACTTCACAACTACTATTTTTTAATAGTAGTTGTGAAGTTTTGTGATTTTAATATTTCTATTCCTTTTTTAATCTATACAAAATACAACTACTTTTGTTGTTGATAACTGTAGGCCCAGTGGTGACAGGAACTTTGGAAGCAATTTCAAAAACGTTTTATTGACCTTTTATGAACTTATATTTTATATGCTAATGTTTTTAATTGCATTTTATGTATTGGGGGCATCGAATTGTGCTGAATGTAAACGGCCTTGAGTCACCTTCATGCTGAGAAAGGCGGTATATAAATATGGTAAATAAAAATAAATAAATAAATAAATAGAACAGCTAAATGAAATTGCCATAGATACTACAATTACAGTACAGTACGATACTGCTGGAAACATTCCACGTTATCCAAAAATGGCTCACTGATTGTTTCCTATGTTCTTGGATACAATCCAAATTATTGATGGTTCAAAATACCAGTTAGTACAGGTATAAGCAAACTTTGGCCTTCCAGGTGTTTTGGAAGGCCAAAGTTTCTTTCTTATCATCATTCTTTCTTATCATCATCATCATTGTCTAAATCAGGCCTGCACAGCCTGTGAGCCTTCAGGTTTTGGGACTCCCAACTCCCAGAAGCCTTAGCCAGCTTTTTCAATGATCAGGAATTCTGAAATCTGAAGTCTAAAACATATGGGGAACCATAGATTGTATGGGCCTGATCTAAATCAATGCTTTATCTTACACCCAGAATGTGTCCCGGGAGTTTAGAGAAGAACAAATCTATGCAATATTGTGAAGACTACATGTTGTAAAAGTTCTCTTAGCTAAGGATATGGAATATCCAATGCATAGGCCAAATCTGGCTCACAGGATGCTTAATTTTGAGAACTGGATTTGTTCTGTCATTTTAGCACCTGACTTTTTGCCTCTTATCTGATGCAGTTCGTGAGATAAATGTTTGTTGTCACCTGGTCTGTATAGGTCATTGGCAGAAACCTGTTTGTTCGGATTCATTTTGACCACTTCTGGCTTCCTTGTATCTTTTTATGCCTGCTCTGTATTTTTTGTGTTATCTTCAGAAATCTATGTAACATTTTAGACTGCCTTGTTAGTTCTTGTAATGTCCGCGTTACCCTCTAAGCCGTGGAACTGTCTGGGTTATCTTTTTTACTTTTTGGAGATATTTATTTTGCTCTGCTACTGATAAGTAAGATTTGCATAACGTAGTGATTTGAGGATTGAACAATGACTGGAGACCGGTGTTTGAATACCTGCTCAGTTATCGAAGCCAACTGAGTGACCTTGGGCAAGTCACAGTCTCTCAGCCTCAGAGGAGGACAAAGGCAATTTCCCTCTGAACAAATCTTGCAAAGAAAAAGCCATAATAGATTCTCCTTAGAGATGCCATCAGTCAGAAATTCTTTGCAGGCACACAACAACAATTACAATAGAGCATCATTATCTCTCGCTTGATAATTGCTTAACTATATAATCAGCAACGTTGAAATGAATTTTCTGGAAGGTGAGATATTATTCTTGCAGCTTTTCCATACTTACCATGTGCTTCTTAGGCTTTCATGTAATAAACTCTTCTCAAGAATGTTCATGTTTGAAAGACTTATGGGTTAAACCACTGAGCGGCTGAACTTGCTGACTGAAAGGTTGGCAGTTTGAATCCAGGGAGCGGGGTGAGCTCCCGCTGTTAGCCCCAGCTTCTGCCAACCTAGCAGTTTGAAGACATGCCAATGTGAGTAGATCAATAGGTAACGCTTCGGTGGGAAGGTAGTGGCACTCCATGCAGTCATGCTGTCCACATGAGGTGTCTACGGACAATGCCGTTATTCAGCTTAAGAAATGGAGATGAGCACCACCCCCCAGAGTTAGACACAAAAAAGACTTAATATCAGAGGAAACCTTACCTTTACCTTTTAGTGTGTAATCTAGGGATATGTAAAAATAAGAATCAAAACCGATAGAAATATTATTACTTCACATGTGGAACTTTCATGCCAAATCAACACATGAAATAATTGAATACATAAAAGCCTGCAGGACTATATGAAACATTGACAGGAAGAAAATGCAGGTGGGATTCAGAGAAATGCCACAGTTTTGAGTCTGAGAGATAAGCATATCCCTATGCAAGTTCAGTATAATTATTATGTATGCTCTGATTAGTTTGTATATTTTAATGTCTGCTTCTGGATAACTCCTACTGAATGACAGAGAAGAATTTTGGCTTAAAATTTGAGGTGCAGTTCCTTTTAACTATGCACAGTTATCTTGGAGGAGAAAATTTTGTAGAAGGCAACACAATAATTGTGAAGAAGCTCAACTGAATTGTCTGGAGCCTACTTGTCATGATCCAGACGCCTTTAAGGAGTCCAACACAAGTTTCAAAGTTCAAACAAGAGTTTACTAGGTAAACAAAGAGGTTCAGAGACACTTAAATTCAGTGCCTCTGATCTAAACAAAAGTTGCAGCAACTTGCAGACAAAAATAGAGTATTTGGAAAATAAAGTGGATTAAACGGGAGTATAGTCTGGGTTAAATAAGAGTTTGAGCTAACTGCTTCAAAATAACACAATACAAGGGGAACAAAAACACAAAACACAAGATGATGTAGCCATAGTCTAAATGAAGTCCATAGTCCACAAATCCCAGTAGAAACCAGTCAGAATCCAGGAAGCAAAACGTAGTCAGGAAAAGCCGAGGTCAGGAAAGGAGAGGTTCACACTCACGGAGTTCAAGCCAGTCGGTACACTGTAGATTCAGCAGCCTGTAGACCCAGGACCCAACAAAGCAAACGGCAGAGACAGGACCCGAAGCATGAAACGACACTTTGCCTTCTGCAAAGTTTCATTCGACTTGAGCATACTTTTACCTCACTGCTCCTCATCCGTTGATGAGCTGTCCCCCGCCCCATCAACACCGCCAGCAGCTGCCTGAGACGCTGCAGCTGGGCGTCCCTGCCCATCCTTCCAGTCGGTCCAACGCTTACCAAGACTTAGATCTCCCCATGTCTGCGTGTTGTCATCAGTTTGCCAGTCCCCTGTAAAACCTTCAAAGGTGTCACTGGATGAGGGTTGTAAACAAACATTTCTAACCTCATTAACTTTAGTCCAATCCAAGAGTTCCCCTTCATCTTCACTACTGCTACTCCCATCACTCCCTTGGAAACCCAGGAAGTCTTCGCTGTCTGTTGGAGCAGTAAGTATTTAGCGAACCCTTTTCCTTTTACGCTCATCGTCTGACCCCTGCTCTCGAGTATACCTTTTAACCCCTCGTCCTCCATCTTCCTGCTCATCCTCACTCACTTTGGAGAACCCTTCGAAATTGCTATCATCTGTTGGGGCCATAAATATTTCCCTGATCCTTTTCCGCTGTAACTCATTATCCAGCACCTCCACACTTCTCTTTGTCATACTCCTACTAGCAGTTGTAACATTGCTAGGTGACTCAATCACATCACTACTTCTTATTAGATATAGATGAGATTGTGCCATTCTTTTTGCAGTAGGTACAATGTATATCTCTCCCCCCACCCCCCAAGTTTTGACTTTGCTGTCATTATTAAAATGTGACTCCTGAGACATTTCCTCGGTTGGAATTTTATCAGGTAAAAAAACTGCTTCTCCAACTGCCCACAAAATTGAACAATTTATTGAACTCAGGCATTTGGTGATGCTAAGCTTACTGGTGTTGGTGAATCTGGATTTTAGTTTTTCAAGCCCAGACTCTGGATTTAAAAATAGGATAATAGGAGATTGATAAAGTGGTCAGCTGTGGCCTGGATACCACATGAAGTCTATATAATGCTGTTTTTATAGCCAACTTGGTGTACTTAGAGTTCTCCTTGTAAGTTATCTCAAGGTGGACTATATTCTTGATTTTTGCACTCTACTCAGAGAAGGTGATGGTTCCCCATATATATAAGAATGAAGATATAGTATTTGCATTGACTCCTGAATAAGTTGACCAAGGTTTTGGGGTTGATTTCTGGATTTATACATGAGTATATATAGGGTAACTCAAAATAAGACCAAATGTAGTCATTCTAAAAGCCATACGAAGGATTCTTATCTCGAACCCACCCTTGGTTTGCATGATACATATGTAAAAACAGAGGTAATTACACCAATTCCAGACCTAGAATTCAAATATCTGGTTAAAAGGTAGCCAGCATCCATGTCCTAGGATGCTCAAATGGCTATCAGGTTGTCCCAAGATAAGAGCTTTCTTCGTGCTAATACTGCCATCTATAGATAGCAGTGTGGAACTGCAAGACATTGAATATTCTGCACACATTCTGTATAACTCTGTTGGAAGGTTCTGTTTTACTGATGGAATGGTCTTATATAAAAATGTGCTTATTACATTCACATTACTTTGTGTGCAGTGTATGAAGTCCACAATAACAAAATATTTTGTGTTGAAATAAAAACAATAAAATGAAGAATAACAACTTTTTAATGGCATAGAAATTCAGTGTATAAAATAGCCAAGCAAAGACTTGCCTGATTTTTTTTGAATCAACAAGGAAAAAAATGGAAAATGCACATGGGTTGTAGTTAACCATTTCCTAATTGGAAATAGATTGGGAAAGGTGGGCCTAGGAAAATTATTTTTTGATCTACTACTCCCAGAACACCCTAATTAATTAACTGTTTTAATGTTTTAATTGTATTTGTTGAATGTTTATGTGAAAGCACTGATCATACTTGCTATGAGGCCACCCTGAGTCCCTCTTCGAGGGTAAGAAGGGCGGGTTATAAATGCAGGAAATAAATAATAAATAAATAAACACCCTAGCCAATACATTCATACTGGCCTACTGTAATCAAAAAGTAACTTTTCTAAACACTGGAGGAAAATTACAGTGAAAGGCCTGTGACAATAGTGTCTACATGTTTTTCAAAGTGTCAGTTGTGTCTGATGGAAACCAAACATTACTTGAACTTTGCACTAGTCTGGACTCTTGACAGTTAGTTTGGCTGGTTGTGTCATCTACTCTTATTGCAGCATTGTAATCTGTTGGTCAGGAATATATGCACCATAATGGCAAGCATGAATTTCAAGGGATAAATCAGTTTTTGGCTGTGGGCTTCCAGTTATGTATTGGCTTTAGTTTAAGTAAAGTTAATTGGGGACATAGTACATTGACCTCAGCATTAATAAAATGCAATCAGTTGTCCTGTATATTAATAGTATTAATTTAATGTCCTTAGAATGTCCTTAGCAACCTTATGTTGAGATGAAATAGTAAAATGCTTATTTTTGTTCACATTATGAAAGTACTGTGGAGGTTGAGTATTACTTATCCAGAATTTCCAAAATCCAAAATTGTCCACATGAATGGTTGAGGGAATGATTGCTTTCTGATGGTTCCATTTATGCACAAAATTATTGAAACAGTTTTTAAAATCACAATCAGTCTAAGTATATAAAATATATGTGATACATAAACAAATTTAGTTTTTAGACTTGGTCATATCTACAAGATATTTCATTATGTAGATGCATTATTCCAAATTCTTAAAAAATCCAAAATGTGGAACATTTCCCATTTTATATAAGGAATACACAATTTGTATATATATGTTTCCATTGCCCTTACAATGGACTTAAAAATAAAGAAATATAAATAAATAAACTTTTATTTGTATCCCGCCAGCATCTCCCAGAGGGACTCGGAGCGGCTCACAGAACACTCAGGGTGTAACATGCAAAATACAACAAATGCAAAACAAAATATAAACAATCAACAGTCAATATAACATCACAATTTCATAGTACCCCCTGGTTAAAAACAATAAATTACAGAGAATGCTGTAGGTAAAAAAAGCAGTATTTGATCTCAGAATTGTAAAGGTCCTCATATGTATTATACTGAAGGCTTGTCAAAAAAAAAGCCATGTTTTTAATTGTGTACGGAAGGTTTGGAGGGTGGGGGCTAGCCTAATCTTGCTCAGGAGGGGACTCCAAAGCCAGGGGCCCACCACCAAGAAGGTCCTCTCTTTCGTTCCCACCAACCGCACTTGAGACGAAGGTGGGACCGAGAGGAGGGCCTCTCCTGAAGATCTTAAAGCCCGTGAATCAAAGATCATTCATATTCATTTCACTAAGTTCTTGGTCTCCCAGACAGAATGTGTTTGTTACCTTTGTGTAATTTGTAACTTATCTATGTGCAAGCTACCTTTTGTATTGGAGAGATGAATGCTGCAGCCCACACACACTTTCTTGATAACACATCGGCAGGATTGGTCTGTAAAACTGCATATGTAAATACTTCAGTAATTTGTGTTCTCTGTGACTTACCTACATCTGTAGAAAGAGTAAATAGCCATGTTTTTGCTTACATAAGTGATTGCACTGTAGCCTTCACATCAGAAGTAATGGGAAAGATATGTAAAGTCAACTGAGTTATTGTTCTTCTCTGCTTCCTCTTCAGAGCCATCATGAAGCTTAATGGACATCAACTGGAAAATCATGCACTGAAGGTTTCCTACATCCCTGATGAACAAACTGTGCAAGGCGCGGAGAATGGGCGTCGAGGAGGTTTTGGGAACCGGGGTGCCCCCAGGCAGGGTTCTCCCGTGGCTTCAGGAGCCCCTGTGAAGCAACAGCCAGTAGACATCCCCCTCCGGCTTCTTGTTCCCACCCAGTATGTGGGAGCTATTATTGGCAAAGAAGGAGCCACCATCCGCAACATAACCAAGCAGACTCAGTCCAAGTAAGACCCTGCCGGTTTCCTTCTTCCCTTTCACTAGGGCCAATAGGTTCACTCTGCCAATAGGTTGCAGATCTTGAGGAGGATTGAAAGGCAATGAATTGTTGAGTTTAAGCTTTGGTATTAGTGTATTTTTACTGCTAAAAATGGGGAGATGCTCTTACGGGATTTTCTGCCTCATGTATCAACATTATGTGGCTGGTATTATAAAATGAATACAACCAGAGCTAACATCATTACTTTTAAATAGTAGCTCATTTTTATTTTTAAAAAATATTAAATACATTGGCATTTTTTGTAATTGAAAAAGCAGCTCATTCTTTTATGTATTACTATCACATTACCTATATATAACTTCAATTTATCTTTAAAAATGCATCTTGAACAATAAAAAATGGTCCCCTAATGACACCTGGTAACATTGTAGAACTATTTTGTAATTATTACTTGTGCCAAAAAAGTAACAATGTTAATTTGTGCTACATTACTTTTTAGAAGAAACAATAATATATTACTCTTCAAGGGCTCTTTTAGTCCTTTCACTGGGGCACCACCTGCCTTATTAAGGCTTGAATTGGATCTTCCCTCACTTGAGGCCAGAATGCATAAGCTCGACATTTCATATGGGAAGAGACTCCTGGTAATGGAGGATGAGAGTATAACAAAGCAATGCCTGATGGAGCAATATAACTGGGGAGGTTGGGCTCAATACTGGATAGAGCTGTTCCATCAGTATTTTGATGGGTCAATAGCGACCCTAATGCAGTTGAGCAAAAAGGCGATTAGAAACAAAATCTTTGAGATGGATGCAACTGACAACTTGTGGGCTAGTAAACAGCAGGGTTTCACCACTTGGTATCCTCTACTAAAGAGTGACCAGTATTGTCAACAATACAACAATATCTTCAAGACTTAACATCTGTAGCTCTTAGAAAAGCATTTACAGCCCTGTGCTTTCAAACAGTGCCATCCGGCTGGTTAGAGGGGAGATATATAGAGGTAAAAATGTTTGAAGTAAATAAAATAAATAGAAGGATTCCTCATGCCCAACGACTTTGTATTTGTGGGTCGAGGGAAAGACAATTTAATACATCGTCTGCTACATTGCCCTTTGTATAATAACCCTAGAAACAATCTTCTTGGAGACCTTTTGGAAGAAAGGGCAGCATGGCAACACTTAGCACTTATCTGTGACTTGCTAGCAGATTATTCCAAAACATACAAGATTAAAGGTTGCCACATTTCCAGTCGCAGCCCAAAAAATCCGAGCTAAATTAGTAAAGTCCACAGCGGAGACTAGAAATGGAAATGCAGATAGTTTGGGATGATACAAAGCAGGCATTTCTTATTGTTGTTATCATATCACTGCTACTATAATTTTAAAGAGCCAGTATATGGAATAGGTTTTAATGTTTATATTGGAAAGTGCTTATTGTACTTTTAAAGGTTGTATGTTATTTGATGTCATAGCTTCTGGCGATTCATTCATACTCTTCAGTTACGTTATTTGAAACATAATACATTACTTCCAAGTTCTGGACTGAATGGAAGTTGAAGGAAACGTCTGGGGTGAGAGATGATGTATGGAGGTGGTAGATAAGGGAGATGTTTGGAGCATCTGTTTGACTTGCTTCAGGCTTCTAGTCCTTTATTTACATATTGGGATTTTGGTTTCCATGTTTTGTTAACTCAGATGACTTCTGTCTCCCTTCTCTTTGCCATGCAGAATTGATGTGCACCGGAAGGAAAATGCTGGGGCAGCAGAGAAAGCGATAAGCATCCATTCAACCCCAGAGGGCTGCTCTGCTGCTTGCAAGATGATCTTGGAAATCATGCAGAAAGAGGCAAAGGATACTAAAACGTATGGCTGAGATATTGCTGGTGCAAAGGGTTGATGTGGGACTTTTCAGTGTGTGTTCCAAGACTGTTTGTCGTACTTTCCTAATATGACACATTCCTAATATGCCTGGTTACAGTTTACATCATTCCCAGCCAGCATGAACAATACCTGAGGGAAAGGAATATATCGGCTGTTTGCTTTGAGAGGAGTAGGATTCTCATTTGCTCTTTAAAATTATACCTTTCCCCCAAGACTCATCACTTTATAAAACTCATGGTCTGGGTCAGGCCTTATTACTCTGTGATAGTACCCATATAAGATTTTGACCCTGTCCTGGATCCATTCAATTGCTGACTAATCTGTTCAACCTGTTGTAACAAAGTGGGTTATTGTAGGTATTTCGGGCTATATGGTCATGTCCTAGAAGCATTCTCTCCTGATGTTTCTCCTGCATCTGTGGCAACTATCCTCAGAGGTGGTGAGGTTCCTCACAACCTCTGAGGATGCTTGCTACAGATGCAGGTGAAATGTCAGGAGAGAATGCTTCTAGAACATGGCCATACAGCCTGAAATACCTACAACAACCTAGTGATTCCAGCTATGAAAGCCTTTGACAATATGTCGTAACAAATTTAAGGCTTTGGGGAGGCTAAGTAAAGGCCTGGAACAATCTCAAGAGGAAGACAGGATAGAACTTGAGTACCTTATCTTTTCAGATTATAATTTGCAGCATGTTTAGTGACCCTGCAGATTGGAAGGCTGTGGGAGCCAATATACCAAAAAAGGATTTTTCCAAATTCCAGTTTAGCAGAGGACTGTAGGTTTTTGGACTCATGAACTTTTCAAAAGTTTAGGATAGAAGGAAGTTATAAGCCTTTAAATTCACCTCCTCCCCCTTTTCTCCTAGTGCTGATGAAGTGCCTTTGAAAATTCTAGCCCATAACAACTTTGTGGGACGTCTGATTGGCAAAGAGGGCCGGAACCTGAAGAAGGTGGAGCAGGACACAGAAACAAAGATCACCATCTCCTCGTAAGGATTTTTGCTTGCTTCTGTCCATGCATCTCTCTCTTCCTTCTTTTCTTATTTTGTTCTCTTCTGAAATTGAGCTGACTCTTTAAAACAATTGAAACATGAGAGATGATACCCATCAGCTCCCTTATTATGTAGGATTTAGTTTATATGTATTTAAGGCATTGAATTTTGTCATTATTTGTTGTAAACTGCTTTGAGTCCCTCTCGGGGAGAAAAAACTTGATTCCTCTGATCTTCCTGGTATAGATTTGCATTTTGAAGCGAAGCAGTGTGAAAAGATAGCAGAAATTGTAGTTAGTACTTGGTTCACAATCACTCATGCAAGCTGTTTTATTTTTTGTAGCAATCCAGACTGAAGATTAGGAAGAAATTGAGTACTTGATTGTACTTTGTTTTTTAGAAAAGCGGTACATAAAAACAGTAAACAAATAAATAAATAAATTTGTTTCTGTGGTAGAGGAGTACAAAACGGTGATGTGCTTCTCCTTTTTTGTCTTGCTCCCCAGGCTGCAGGACTTGACACTGTATAACCCTGAAAGGACCATCACCGTCAAGGGCTCAATTGAGAACTGCTGCCGAGCCGAGCAAGAAATCATGAAGAAAGTGAGGGAAGCCTATGAGAATGATGTGGCAGCTATGAGTGTGAGCATATTCTTGTCCCACCTCTTCTCTCCCCTAGCAATCTGGTAAAATCATGTGATATCTCATCTTCAACAAGTACAGCCTGTCTGGTCAGGGATAAATGTCTTTTCATCAAAAGACTGTAAAAATGATTAGTGGATTTATACTAATCAGGGCCTGAATTCAGTATGGCTCGGGGCCAGTGCAACATATATTTATTTTCTATAGAAGGAGCCAGTATTTGAAATCTGCTTATTTTTGTTTGGTTACTCTTGGTTTTTTTTTAGTTAAAATGTACAGATATATAAGAATTAATTACAAATTTCAAGAGTTACTAGCCTGTTTCAGCTTAAAAAGAATGGGAGCAGGGGAGGAAAGAAAGAATGTAGCAGCATCTGTAAGACTTAGGTTATTTAAGGATGAGTTTCAGTGGAATTCAATCCACTTCTTGAGATGCCTGTCTTTTCCTAAACATAATTAAAATTCAGTGTGAAATGCTATTCAGTTCACTAAAATACCTCTACTCATTTTTAGCAATTACATAAAATCCTCCACTCTCGTGCCAGTATTAATCAATGTATATATTTTTTTTATATATAAAGATAAAGGTTTCCCCTTCACATTAAGTCTAGTCGTGTCCAACTCTGGGGTGTGGTGCTYATCTCCATTTTAAAGCCAAAGAGCCGATGTTRTCCGTAGATGCCTCCAAGGTCATGTGGCCAACATGATTGCATGGAGCACCATTACCTTCCCGCCGGAGTGGTACCTATTGATTTACTCACATTTGCATTTTTTCATTCGTGGGATTCAGTATGATCTCTGGCTGCAGGATAAACTATAGTTCTCACCATGGTGGGTCAGTCCCCTCAAATCCCTCCAGTAGGTTCAGTTCATCATAGGGGTTCTGTGTGCTAGGTTTGGCCCAGATCCATCATTGGTGGTGATCACAGTGTCTCTGGATGTAAGTGAACTACAATTTCCAGAAATGGTCAGTTCCCTCCAAACCCCTCCAGAATTTTTAGTTGGTCATGGTAGTTCTGTGTGCCAAGTGAGGTTCAGGGCCATCATTGGTGGGGTCCAGAGTACTCTTTGATTGCAGGTGAACTATAAATCCCAGTACCTACAATGGCTATAACTGAAGGTGAATTCTCCCCAAACCTCTTCAATATTTTTCTTAGGTCATGGGGGTTCTATGTGCCAAATGTGGTCCAGGTCCATTGTCAGTGGGGGTCACAGTGCTCTTGACTTGATGCAGAGTGAACTACAACTTCCATCATGTGGAGTCAATCCCCCAAACTCCTCCAGTATGTTTAGTTGCTGATTAGTTCTGCTCTGTTTGTTGTGCAGACAGAGTTGAAAGGGTTAAGGGAGAGGCAGTGGGCGGGATCATGCAAATGGAGAGAGTAAGAAACACTGGGATGTCTGTGTTGGGGGAAACATGTAAAATCTAGGATGAAATTGTCCTTGAATGAAAGCATTCCTTGGGTGGTGGACAGTATGGTGTTTGGGGAGGACATTAGCAGGTGTTGAGCTACATGTTCATGGTTTTTGCTATAACCTTTTAATGTCATTGGAGGGAGGGCCTTGGTGGCTCATTGGCACTGTGGGTTAAGGCTGTTTGTGGAAGTGGACACCTTCACTACATACACACATACTCATTTTCATTATTATTATTATTATTATTATTATTATTATTCACTTTTATTATTATTATTCACTTTTATTATTATTAACATGTCCAAACGCATCTCCCCTGATGAACCATCTAGGACCTTAAGATCATCTGGGGAGGCCCTGCTCTCATTACCGCCTTCGTCACAAGTACTTTTGGCGGAGACAAAAGACAGAGCCTTCTCGGCGGTGGCCCCTCAGCTGGGGAATGCCCTCCCTATAGATATTAGATGGGCCACTTCCCTTTTAACATTCTGGAAAAAAGTCAAGACGTGGCTTTTTGAACAAGCGTTTCCAAATGCAGAGTAACTGACATAGGAAAATGGAACTGACAATGAGACCGGACAACGTTTTTAACAAGGCGACACTATGAATTTATATTTTATTGATATGTTTAATTTTTATTATATGTTATGTTTTTAATTATATATATGATATTGTAATCATTGAATTTTACCCTGTTAACCACCTTGAGTCGCCTACGGGCTGAGAAAGGCGGTATACAAATACAGTATAGATAGATAGATAGATAGATAGATAGATAGATAGATAGATAGATAGATAGATATATCCCACTCTTTCCCTCTCTGATGTAAGACCCATGTTTAATCATACTGTTAGTGGCTATGAGCCATGATAAGAAACATTCAGTTTTGATGGAAAAGCCACTGTACAAATGTAACGAAAACACCTTATCATCCATATCTTCGTTTTCCTCCTCTTGTTCTTTCATTTTAGCTACAGTCACACCTGATACCTGGCCTCAACCTAGCTGCTGTTGGCCTCTTCCCTGCCTCTTCCAATGCAGTGCCACCTCCTCCAAGTAGTGTTTCTGGGGCAGCACCATACAGTTCTTTTCTGGTAGGTTTGAACCATGCTTCGTTCTGGGAGACTGTTTGTATAGGTCTGTTTACCCTCAACTATAAAAGCATGCATGACCAAAACAGTATTATTCCATTGTACCAACATAATGATATACAGCCTTCTTCCTTTCGACACCTGTTTCAGAAGAAGACTATCTATTCACAAAACACTGAAACTGCCTCCCAACCCCACTGTTTGAACATTCGAATTTGTACTTCTTCACTCCCAGTTTATTTTGTTCTCTTCCAACAGATCCCTGCCTGTAGACCAGACACAGGCAAATTTTCGCTCTACAGGTGTTTTGAACTCCAACTCTCAGAATTCCTAACAGCCTCAGGCCCTTTCCTTTTCCCCCTCAGCCACTTAAGCGGCTGAGGGGGAAAAGGAAAGGGCCTGAGGTTGTTAGGAATTGTGGGAGTTGGAGTCCAAAACATCTGGAGAGCCAAAGTTTTCCCATGCCTGCTGTAAACTTTCATTCTATTAATCTTCCCAACTTGTTGCTAAGCCATAAAAATTCTAGCCCAAATCACATACATTGATATTATCAAACTTACACTACACATTCTGTGACATTATGGCAATGGAGCCATTCATCAGTGGATGATAGACAAAAGCTTTTAATAAATGCCAAATTTGGGAGGTCCAGCTTGACCGATACTGACTGGCGGCCCTAAAACTTTATCTTGACAGCCTCCTGAGCAAGAAACGGTGCATGTCTTTATCCCTGCCCAGGCGGTGGGTGCGATCATCGGCAAGAAAGGGCAGCATATCAAGCAGCTTTCCAGATTCGCAAGTGCCTCTATCAAGGTGCTAACCTTCTCTGTTTCTTTCTTTCTGTTTTTAAAATTTTTGTGATTGATTGGCTGCTGCCAAACTTTGCGTGAAGCAGGTATTGCTGCCTAGGAATGGAAAGGGGTTTAGTTGGATTCTTCACACCTCCTTTTGAGAGGAAGTATAGAATACAAGAATTGAAACATTTGTGAAGCATAGGAGTGTTATTTGGTATCTTTTAAAATGATGTTCACAGAGTTATAGAAGTGTGCACAAAGACATTTTAACTAATGGGGAATGTGTACACTAAGTGGATTAATACAAGAATAAGGAGTAATGTATAATGTTATAGTACAGTGTTATATATAATATTAATATTGTGCCATGATAATAATATAATATATTGTATTTACTTTTTACTTGTAAGCCGCTCTGAGTCCCCTTCGTGGTGAGAAGGGCAGCATATAAATGTCGTAAATAAATAAATACATACATACATAATACAATAAAATAGGTGCGAATTTAATCACAAGGAGAAAAAACAAGTCTTTGTAGCCCAATATGAATTGAGGACATGATGAAAACACAGGTGGAAAAAGCAACAAAATCAGGACAGAGAGGTGTTATTTTCTGTAGAAAGAAAGGTAGACACCAAATTGTGAGGGATAGTTTATCCTCCAGAAGACAGGAGCAGAATTCAAAATCATCTTAACAGATTAGAGAGATGATTGGCCAAAACTAACAAAATCAGTTTCAACAGGGACAAATGCAAGATACTCCACTTAGGCAGAAAAAATGAAGTGCAAAGATAAAAAATGGGGGACACCAGCTCGCCAGCAGTACGTGTGAAAAAGATCTTGGGGTCCTCGTGAACAGGAAGGTGAACATGAGTCAACAATATGATGCGGCAGCAAAAAAAGCCAGTGGGATTTTGGCCTGCATCAGTAGGAGTCTATTGTCTAGATCCAGGGAAGTCATGCTAGCCCTTTATTCTGCATTGCCCAGACCACACCTGGAATCACACTGTGTCCAATTCTGGGCACCGCAGTTGAAGGGAGATGTTGAGAAGCTAGAATGTGTTCAGAGGAGGGCAATGAAAATGATCAAGGGTCTGGAGATCAAACACTATGAGGAGTAGCTTAAATATCTGGGCATGTTTAACCTTCAGAAGAGAAGGCTGAGAGGAGACATAATAGCCATGTATAAATATGTGAGGGGAAGTCATAGGGAGGAAGGAGCAAGCTTGTTTTCTGCTGTCCTGGAGACTAGGACACAGAACAGTGGCTTCAAACTACAGGAAAGGAGATTCCACCTGAACATTAGGAAGAACTTCCTGACTGTGAGAGCTGTTCAGCAGTGGAACTCTCTGCCCCAGAGTGTGGTGGAGGCTCCTTCTTTGGAGGCTTTTAAACAGAGGCTGGATGGCCATCTGTCAGGGGTGCTTTGAATGCAGTTTTCCTGCTTCTTGGCAGAGAATTGGACTGGATGGCCCACAGGGTCTCTTCCATATCTATGATTCTATGAAATAAAACAGTAGTCGTTACATTATGCCAGTTTTCCACGCCAACTCTGTACTGATCATGCTGGTTGAGGGATTCTGGGAGTTATATCCTGAGAAAGTTACATTTTCAAACTCTTTCTGACACACAGGTTTTGCAGGTTGACTATATCAGGGCTTTTTCTATTCAGGACCCTTTTTGGCCCAAAAAAATGTTTATGTAGACCTGACTATATTGGTATATATCAGCGTTTGTCAACCTTGGAGTTGGGACCGGGGGTGGGGCGGGGGGCAGGCCGTGTCAGAGGGGTCATCAATACAGTATTTTCTGCTGGTCATGGGGGTTCTTTGTGGGAAATTTGGCCCAATTCTATGATTGGTGGGGTTCCGAATGCTCTTTAATTGTAGATGAACTATGAATTCCAGCAACTACAACTCCCAAATGTCAAGGTGTATTTTGCTCAAACTCTACTAGTATTCACATTTGTGGATATTGAGTATTTGTGCAAAGTTTGGTTCAGATCCATCATTGTTTGAGTCCTCAGTGCTCTCTGGATGTAGGTGAACTACAATTCCAAAACCCAAGACCAATGCCCACCAAATGCTTCCAGTATTTTCTATTGGTCATGGGAGTTCTTTGTGCTAAATTTGGTTCATTTCCATTATGGGTGGAGTTCAGAATGCTATTTGATTGTAGGTTAACTATAAATCCCAGCAACTACAACTCCCAAATGAAAAAAATCAACCCCCCCCCCTCCCCCACAACCCAACCCAGCCAGTATTTAAATTTAGGCATATTGGGTATTTGTGCCAAATTTGATCCAGTGAATGAAAATACATCCTGCATGTCAGGTATTTACATTATGATTCATAACAATAGCAAAATTACAGTTCTGAAGTAGTAATGAAAGTAATTTTATGGTTGGGGGTCACCACAACATGTGGAACTATATTTAAGGGGTCACGGCATTAGGAAGGCTGAAAACCACTGGTATATATAGTAGGTGTAAAAACCAAACATTTACTGAAAATAAATCAGTATTTACAAGGCTTGCTAAATAGGATGATTTTCCATTTTATGACGCACAGCTGAAGCATCTTAGGCAGAATCCACTGCAAACACTGCACAACAGATTAGTGGAAATGTTTAAAACAGTCAGTAGGTGATGTTCAGAAGACTGTTACCGGAGTAAGATATTTTGCAGCCCCAACATTGAGCTAAGAGGACTCCATTTGGAGTTGGGCCCCATACTTACGAAGCAATGGACTGGATGACTGATGAAGCAACTCAATTTATGTCATTTCCCTATTGTCCTCCAGATTGCTCCTGCAGAGACACCGGATTCCAAAGTGCGAATGGTGATAATCACTGGACCACCAGAAGCCCAATTCAAGGTGTGTTTTCTCCCTCCGTATTCATACTTATTGGTAGATGTGTAATTATAATTTCTTTATTTATTTTTAAAACAGCAGTCAGGAACGTTGGGCATTTTCAGTGCATGTCAGTGATGCTCCAAAACATTGCCATGGATAATATAGGCCAGTCACAAAATGGCTGTAATTAAAACTAAAAGAAGAAGAAGAGATAGGAAATGTGGAAGTTGGAAGCAAACATGTTTTCCAGAAGTATGACATATTTTTAAAAAACCATAATAGCTTTGGGTTTTTTATAACACAGTCCCCAGTATCTTTGTAGCCCGGATGGCTAATAGGAGACTTTGGGAGTCTGCTATTAGCAGGCACGGAGCAAGGCTATGGAATCGCATGATTGTGTATAAAAATTTATTAGTCGTGCCTGGTCTCCATTTCTTTTTTTCCTTCTTCAGGCTCAGGGGCGAATTTATGGAAAGCTTAAAGAGGAGAACTTTTTTGGGCCCAAAGAAGAAGTGAAGCTGGAGACCCATATCCGAGTCCCTGCTTCAGCTGCAGGGAGAGTCATTGGAAAAGGAGGGAAAACGGTGAGTGCAGGCTTCAGCCACAAATATAATGCATTAAGTGATTGGAGACTTGTTATTACTTGGTGAAAATGCTTTTAGTTTGGATTTTCTTGATTTAAAGGCTACAAATGTGCCAGGTGTTTGTTTCCCCAACATCTGTTGGTAAATACATTGATAACTGGGGCCGTAATTATATCTGAACAAACTGTAGGGGAGACCAGAGCATAACACAAAACCCTGGCTTTGCGAAACCACGCTGTATTTATTGCACATTGCCTGATTGAATCATTACTTGGCAAACATGGTGTTGGCAAGTGTCCAGTAAACCAGGAATTCCAATCCATATTAGGATTTGGTTTGCCAACATAGTTTGACAGACTGTGGTTTGTTAGTACAAATCATGTTGGTACAATATTTGTACCAACAAATCATGGTTTATGTCTTCACAGGCTCCTGCTTGGAATTACATTTGCGGGGTTAGCAATGTCTGCAAGTAGGATGGAGTGGAGCTTTTGAACCACCGTATTGAATCTTGCAACACCAATAATTGTTGGTTTAAAAATAGATATGGATCTTCAAAGATTTTCAACCATAGTTCTTTAATAGCTGCTTCTAACTGAGGAAAATAAATCTTTTTAAAAGCCTGAAAAAACAAACAAACCAAAAACCAGAAATCACCAGAACAAACTTCCAGTTCCACATAGCGGTGGGGTATAATCCCACAGAGAGATAATTAACTAATAGAGATGTGCATTTAGTGTAGGTGTCAGTTATTCAGATGTTCAGCACTTTTGAAGAGAGCTCCGACGCACCTGCTTGCTGCCCCCTCCCCCAATATTAAGAATATGAATCAAAAGGAGCCTTTGATTCATTCCTAAGCCTCATATGTCTTTGGATATAGCTGTGATGCACGTAAAATTCAGAGGGCAACCAAAACTTGTTGGCATGCCTCTCAGCCAGTCAGGGAGGCAGAGGTGGAGATTACTATACTAGGTTTTTTTAATGTTGTTTTTTAAAACTTTGAAAATATCCAAAAAACCAGTGGATGAGTGAAATGTTATGAAACCTAATAGCACTGTAGCAAGTTTCATCCCAGGGAGATATGAGCCCCCGAAGTTTCCTCATTGGCAGTGATGTCTTCCTTATTGGACATTTCACTACTGCCCTCTCCTGGTTGAATCATAAATTGCAGTTCACACAAGCCATGGTTACTTCTAAAATATCACATAAGAATAAAAACTTGGATCTGAAGGGAATGCCATGTCTTAAATTATCTAAATCACAATCAAAGTAGAATTTCTCTTGTTCAAGTCTGATAAAAAGTGGTATGGCTGCACGTGAGTGCATGTTCAGGTCAGGAGATTGTATGGCTTTTTCAAAAACTAAATACCACTACTGGTTTTACTTTTCAATTTACAGGTTAATGAGCTGCAGAACCTGACGGCAGCTGAGGTTGTTGTCCCACGGGACCAAACCCCTGATGAGAATGAGCAAGTCATTGTCAAGATCATCGGGCATTTCTATGCCAGCCAAGTAGGTGTCAAATGGGGGGAGTTGAGAATAGTAATAAACATAGAAAATGGAGCCTATTAAGGCTATGGCCCAGTTTGGACATAACAGCAAACTGAGGGTAATCACAGACTCATAGAATAACAGAGTTGGAAGAGACCATATGGGCCATCTAGTCCAACTCCCTGCCATACAATGTCAGCAAGCAATTGCTCCTCCAACTCATTCTGGAAGAGATGAGCAAAGACATCTCTTTCAAAAGAGTATGTTGCCATAGCTCACAAAGAAAAATACTTGAGATGTTTTTTTTCTGATGGGAGGGGTAAGGTAAAGGTAAAGATTTCTTTTGACATTGAGTTTAGTTGTGTCTGACTGGGAGTTGGTGCTCATCTCCATTTCTAAGCCAAAGAACCGGCGTAGATGTCTCCTAGGTCATGTGGCCAACATGACTGCATGGAGCACCATTATTTTCCCACCGGAGCAGTACCTATTGATCTATCCACATTTGCATGTTTTCAAACTACTAGGTTGGCAGAAGCTGGGGATAATAGTGGGAGCTCACCACGCTGCCTGGATTTGTACCACCGACCTTTTGGTCAGCAAGTTCAGCAGTTTAACCCTCTGCGGCACCAGGGGCTCCGATGGGAGGGATAGGCAGTTGAAATCAGATAGGTGAAGTGTTGTTTTTAGACTACAGCTCACTGAACTGGGAAAGTGTAGTACCCAAAAGTAATTTTTCAAAGCTGTGAGGTACTAATTTTTAACAGAAACCATCTCAAAAAATTGAGCTAATTTTCCAGGCATCACTATGCTTGTTCCAAATAATATAATAAATAATAATAAAACTTTATTTATATACCTCTCTATCTCCCCGAGGGGACTCAGAGCGGTTCCCAGGTAAAAATCACAGAACATACAAAGTAAAAACAACATAACCATAAGATTAACAAAACAAAATATGCATAAAAATTGTCGCCATAACACACATGTATTAAAAGGAACCCTGCCTGTTCAAGGCAATTTAAAAAAATTTAAAAGGCCGGGCCAAGATTTGTGCAAGCCCAAAAATTCTAGGGGGCCTGGGAATTAAATGCAGTGCTATGGCAGGCAACAATAATATTAGGTATGGGTCTGTGGCTGTTCATTCCGGGGCCGATTTGAGGAAATGATCAGGGTAATTGGTAGGAGGAATAAGGCCGTATTCGACAATGTATAGGGCTAAGTAGAACTGGCCATTTTCAAAGGCTTGTTGAAACTACCAGGTGTTCAAGCTCTTACGAAAGGAGGGGAAGGATGGGGCCTGTGTTATTTCCTTTGGAAGGGCGTTCCAGAGACAGGGGGCCACCACTGAGAAGGCCCTCTCTCTCGTCCCCACCAACCGCGCTTGAGACGGTAGTGGGACCGAGAGGAGGGCCTACCCGGAAGATCCTAGAGTTCGCGCCGGTTCATAGAAGGAGATGCGATTGCGGAGATAAGCAGGGCCTGAACCGTTTAGGGCTTTATAGCTCATGACCTACACCTTGAATTTGGCTCGGCAACTTATCGACAGCCAGTGAAGCTGTTTTAATAGGGGTGTTGTATCCTCCCTATAGTTTGCTCCAGTAAGGAGCCTGGCTGCCGCCCGTTGTACCAGTTCAAACTTCCGGGCCGTCTTCAAGGGCAGCCCCACGTAGAGCGCATTSCAATAGTCCAGTTTGGATGTAACCAAGGCGTGGACCACACTGGCCAAGTCAGACTTGATTCATTTGTTCATGCAAAGTGCTGYAGAAAGCCATATCTCCCAGAAAGTCAGCCAGTATGACGGGATGGAGAGAAATTAATCTGTTGTACTAGGCTAGTACAGTGGTTTGGGCATTCGATGTCTAAAAGGTTCTCCATCACTGGGCAAATAAATATAAATCTGTTTGTCCTTTGCTTCTCTCCCTTTCCTATCAGATGGCGCAACGCAAAATACGTGATATCCTCGCTCAGGTGAAACAGCAGCATCAGAAGGGACAGAACAGCCAGACACAAGCACGAAGGAAATAGGAATTTGCTTTACCCCAGTGTGTGAGAGAAAAAGAGAGAGTGAGAGAGAGAAAGAGAGAGAGAGAGAGAGATGGACAAACAAACGAACGAACGACATTGACAACGGATGAAACAAAGCCAAGCAGAAAGAGTGATGAGCTGATGCAGAAACCCTAAGAGTGGCTGGGAATCAGTTTACCATAGGCGGGTATTAGGAATTATTTTGTGTAGACGGGTGACTTTACGTCTCTTGAGCCAAAGCAGTTTTGATTGGCTCCTCAGGCATGCTTTCTGTGTGTGCATGCGCATGTGTCGCTTTGCATATGTGCATGCAAACCACACACAGATATATATGTTAGGGGTGAATCTTAGATCAGCCAATTGGGTAAAAGAATTCTAATCCAACCCCATAGTCTGAAAAACACTGTGCAGTATTTCTGGGATTGTCCAGAGGGGCAGGAATGATCACACATGCAACTTGCTGTGCCTTTACCAGAACAAGGGCAGAGAAAAGGGCCATTTGGAAACCCTCAATCCTTCCTACACCCAATGCAAATAGTTCAAGGTTTTGTTTGGATATCCAATACCATTACACCCCATCACCAAAGAAAGCACCCGGTTTTCCAGTTGGCAAGGGAAGAAAATTGAGGAGCACCGGATTTTTGAGGGTGGCTTTCTCAAATTTTAGAAAGATTTGTTAGCCAGAATGGCTAAAGATGATGGGGATTGTAGTCCAGCACATTAGAAGGGCATATGTTTGGGAAAATCTTTCACATTGGATTCTAGGGAAACACTAATCTTAAACTGACAATTGTGAAAACCGGTCAGAGTCCCTCTACGGAGATTGAGAAGATCGGGATATAAAAGTTTTAAATAAATAAATAAATAAATAGTGCACTGTTGTACAAACTGGTTATTTGGATTTTTCCCCCAGTAGCCGTGTCTCCACAAAGATCGGCTGTATAATATTTTGACCCCAACTACCCAATATGTGTTGCACCAGATACTTGAGCTGCCATGGTCTCTGTAGTGAAATCAGCCTACGGATGTGATTGCAAAGTAGAATTGGTCAATACAGACATCTCACCAAACTATATTTCTTTAGCCTGCAGTTCTATAACTTCCATCTAGGATCGAGGGTGTGTCCACACTGTAGAATGAATGCAGTTTGACATCACTTGAACTGCCATAGCTCAATGCCTTGGAATCATGGGAGTTGTTGTTTTTCAAGGTCTCTAGCCTTCTCTGCCAAAGAGTGCTACTAAACTACAAGCCTGAGGATTCTATAGACTTGAGCCATGGCAGTTAAAGTGGTGTCAAACTGAATTAATTCTGCAATGTAGATGCATCAATGGGACTTACTTCTGAGCCGGCAAATACAAGATTGTGGTGTTAGATGTACAGTATTTTGTTGTAAATTGGACCAGTTCCCTTGAAACATTCACTTTTCAGGGAAAGTGTTCACATTATTTGAAAATCAAGAAATGAATGAATATCCCACCAAGGTAGAAACCCTTTACATACAGTCCTGGTGGAATACGATGTTACACTGTTGAAGAAAGGCAGAAATTGTTGCATTTGTATCGGGTTTTTTTACTTTGTAGCCCTGGACAAAACTTTTTAAAGTATAGGTTGGATCCAGAGGAGTTTTTCTTCAGTGGTAGAAACTTCTGCATTTGAGTTTGGTTTTTTATTATGAGGCCCATTCCGTTCTTTTAAAATGCCGTGATCCAAGTCAGTTATAGTTCTGAAATGTAGGTATGGCTCAAACAGTTTTTAATTTTTTTCATTGATTTTTTAAAAAGAGATATGGTAATTTCACCTTATTTTTTTTTAGAAAGATTTTTTCAACTCCAATGTCCTTCTCTTTTGCAGGTTTACATTTTAGGGTGGTTCAGACCACAGCAAAATCCCCGTCCCAAACATGCCTTTCTCTGCACCAACCCCTAAAACATCCATATGCACCTCAGGGTTTCTGTGTTTGCCTGAGGTTTGCACACGCATTGCATGAGTTGAACATTCAGCTACTAATATGTTATTCTGAATAGCCATCTCCTTTCTGGGCCCATGTTCTGCTGAAAGGAAGCCACAGCTACCAGCTGCTTACTTCTAATAATGACATCTTGCTGTTACTTTTGTGTGTGAGCTTGGAAATGTTACGTTTTAGAACTCAAGTTCCTAGAATCTCCCAGTCAGCATGACCATTGGTGATTCTAAGAGTTGTCATTCAAAAATGAATATTTCCAAACTCTGGTTTATTATTTGTGGGCATATTCCATTAAATATGTTACTTTTAAAAACTACAACTCCTAGAATCCCTACTGGCCTTGTTAACTGGGGATTCTGGGAGTTGTAACTTTTAAAAAAGTAACATTTCCACAGTCTCCCTTCTACCTTTTGATGGTATATGCCCAGAAGCAGCTTGGGAAGACGGTGTATTGTTCGGAGGCTACCTTCAGGATTCAGTGAGGAGGAGAGCCAATTGCCCCTTTCTGCCTTTGGCTGCCCATTCCCAAGGCTGCCTCTTCAACCTGCATCCATTACCTCTTAGACTGGATCTACATTGTGAAATAATTCACTTTGAACTGCATTATATGGGCCTATATTGGCCATGTATTATAATGTGGTTCAAGATAGATTATATGGCAATGTAGCTCCAACCTTACCAAATCAACAGGGAGTCACTGATTGCTTGACTTTTGTGATATGGTGAGGTAGCTGGGCAGGGTGAAATTGTTTGCAAAACTTATTCAGATATCCCTTAGATCACTTGCCCTCCATGATCCTTGACGGCTGCAGACGGTGAGCTGGAAGTCTCCCCAAATTCCCCTTTTGTAAGATGACAGTTGTCTAGAATGGTCAGGGCTTCTAGGCATGTCAGAGACCTCTTTCCTGCATCACAGTGGTTCTCTACTCCTAAAAGTGGGGGTAAACGCCACTTAGTGATCTTGAAGAGGCAGAATCTCTTACCATTTTAGGTATGATGTCCCTCTACCTTTATAGGAACCTCATAGACATACCAAAAAGAAGAGATGCTTGCCTTGATCCAGATATGTTCAGGAATGGAATCTGCAGCACAGGTGGATATATTGCTCAGGGATCTTGTGATCTTATTTGCTCATTCTCCACTTACTGCTTGAGTGATTGTCTCCTCTATGGAACATATTTTTCTTCATTCAAATGGAAATCAAGAATGGTGCGTACGATTGCATTCTCTGGATCAAGGCAAATGCCTTCCTGATAGATCATAACTCCCTGCTTTAAATGGCTGATCTGGGGACTTACAATGCAATCCTACACATCGAATATAATATCATAGTTGAACTTAACTCCTATTAAGTGTGTATAGGATTTCACTGTTGAGTGCCTGATCCCTAGGTTATAATTCCTGCCAGGGTACCACTATAGGAAGTAACCTAATGTATATTTACAAAACAACAACAGCAAACAAACCCAGGAGACCTTAATTCCAGTAGGATATAAAGATTATGTTTTAAATGAGTACTTGTAGGGATGTTTGGATTACGTTTGAGGATTGGAGGGAAGAAATGAAAAAAAAAAAAAGGGGGGGGTTAAGATTAAACTGAAATTAATTTCTTGTAAATTGATTTGATTTTAAATAAATAACCCCCCCCCCCCTTTTTAATTTTGGAAGTAGGGAAAAATTCGCCACAAGAATATTGAGTGTCTTTATGAGGCGATACCAAATATAGACATCAGAAGAATGTAATGTGGTTACTGATCCCAGTCACTCTTATGTGAGCTTTGAAAAGAAAGAAACAATGATGAAAAATTATATACCGTGGATTTGTATTTTGTGGAGGACCAGAATTGTTTACCTGTCGGCCTGTGCACAGGACAAAGTTTCATCTCTGCGTTAAAATAGACTTCAGTCTAGTTAATATGCATTTTCCCCCTCCAGGGTGTGCCAGAGAGCTTTGGATTCAGATAAACCCAATGCTAAATCTTCAATTTGGACCTAAAACGAAACTACACTATTGTCAAAAGTATGTGATAATATATCTTCCAACTCCCCCCCCCCCCCCTCCCAAAAAAATTAAAGCCTGCAAACCCGGTTCAGTGTCATATTTCATGAGCCTTGGCATCAGTAAACTGGGTGGTATGGCCCTTTTGTGATGTCTATGCTCCCAGGTTAGTGTGTGAATCTGGCTGAATTAAAGTGTGTCTCCTAAGTAGAGTGTGCAGAGGAATTACAGCTATAACGCTACTTGATGCATAAGATTAAAAGAGCTGGAATATCTATTGAGACACATGTAGAAAATTTGTGTTGGGGAAAGTACCTTGTCTATGCCAGGAAGTTTGCATGGTGGACATGGATAGACAAACAAACAGAGAAAGGATTCCCCGAAGTACACGAGCAAGAGGCCATTGTAAACAAAAATATAATCCAATAATATAAACCATAAGAATGTTTTTCATATATATGCTATAGTCATAGAACATTCAATGGACATTGAATGGTCTATGACCATAGCATATATATAAAAAAACATTTTTATGGTTTATATTATTGGATTATATTTTTGGTTATAGTGGCCTCTTGCTCATGGACATGGATAGAGACAGGGAAAGTTGCTCTGAGGACTACGGCTCTTAGTAGCTTTACTGCCACATAGATTTGAGGTGTAGTAATCCACAAAGATCTGGAAGTGGGTAACTGCTTGGCTAAAGTAGTTGTTCCATACCCTGATCAGATGGCAGACCACACGGCCTTCTTAAATTGATGGAAAAAATAACATCAGAAGGTTTTCGTATCATTGGGAAGCTACTGTGACTGCCCTTTTGATTTGAATATGGATATTATGGATTAAATGGATTTCTGGGTCTCAAGCTCTCTTACTGGAGGTCAAATTTTGTTGAAATGATCTAACATTGGCCTAATGCATAAATTACAAAATAGCCAAACATTTGAGACTGATGATCACAAGTGGATGCTATCTATATGAGTTTAAGATCATGTCTTTACTCTTATCAGATGAAATTTTGCATTAACAGAAGTATTGGAAATAATCTCACAGGGCAAAGCAACCCTGTTCACACTGAAATTGAAATACATATATTTGTAAACTAGCAGAGAAAGACTTTTGTCCTGATTTAACAACCATTATGTCCAGGTTTAACCAAGATAATTGAAACTGGGTCATATTGTCCCATTGAAAAAAGCCTTGGGATCCAAGTTGGGCTGTATGACACCATGCCCATGAAGTTCCAAAGTATTTCCATGTGCCTAATACTCAACTGAAATACCTTTGAATTTAAACTAAAGTGGCTGCATGGATTTTGCTGTTTTACTCTGAAGCAGTTACTGTCCTTTTTATGCCTTGTAACCAAGAGATGTGTGCAGAAAAGGTCAGGCATTGCTGTGTGTTTTTAAGGGAAAGGAGGAAAGAAAAAAGAAATGAGAGAAAAATGGGGGGAAAGAAGCTACCTCAAGGTATGAACTTACCTCAGCAATTGTTTTGTTTTTGGGCTTGCTGATATTTTATATAAAAGCTGATAGTCTTGAATATTTTATTTTTTTAATGAAAAGAGAAGTTAAGTTTCATAATTTCTTATGAGCCAGAAATTGTTATGCAGGTCGGCAGTGTTATGAGCTCTCTATGGAGAACGACAGAGACTTTCAGACGTAGCGGAAAAGATGGCGGATTTCTCTCGCCTGCCCTCCCCACCCTCCACACCATCCCAAAAAGTTTTCATTTTCGTCCCTTCAGTACAACAATTGAATGTTATAATCATACCCCTAAAGAATATGGCCAATTTATAACTTGTGCATTTTGTTTGCAGTGTCCAAGTTGTTAAAATCGCTGTGATAACACAGTCTCCACGAAAGATGTGCAAATGTTACACAACTGGCTGCATTTTATGTTTACTTAATTTAGAAGTTAGGATGAGTTTAGGTGATCAGTTTAGATGATTGTCCTCTTTGGTTGCTTATCTAAGTTGAACTGTAGACCTGTTGTTTCTCTATATCTCAATTATCAGTGTTTTCTCATTTGTTGTATCCTCAAACTAGGATGTTTTTGTCACTAGGTGTTGCTGATAGATCATAACTCCCTGCAGTATAGCAACA